TTTTCCATATTTTACCACACTAAACCCTAGACAATTTACCATATTTTTCTTACACTACCAAGTAACACCTAAACAATTTCTTATTTCACATGATTTTACCATTCACACAACATTATTCCCGCGCATTTGCGCGGGCAATCACCTAATTTCCAAATATGTGTCTCTTCTCCTAAAACATCAAAATAAAAAACACCAAGAAAGTATTATGTTTCTTTCTAAAAAAAAACTATTAGTGGTATAAAATTGTTTTTTTATAAGGATAGACACAATTCTTATTTTGTTCTATTCCGTTATGTTCCATATTCGTTACTGAATTTCCATCCCATATTTAAATGTATTTTGGTATAAAAAAAATTCTTCATTTATGTATGGAAACATATGGAAATTGGAATTCCCGAAGTTATGTTTGGAATAAAAACAAATAGTAATATAGATTTTAAAAATAATTATATATATATATATATTTATAATATATTTATATATCATATAATATAATAAAAATATTACAAAAATAAGTTGATTTCATTATTCCTATTACTTTATATATTAATAACTATCTTCTATATATTAAAAGAGTATTTTAAAGAGATATATGAAAAGAGTATTTTTGGTCGCAAGCCCATAATTTTTCTCAGCATATTTTTTTCTTTTAATTTTACTATCATATATGCCAAACACTATACAAACACACATAAATTTCTCTAATATCTAGAGTTACCAAATTTTGATATTCTTAACCTCCCTTATAATTATCAAACTAGAAATTTGGGTTTAGTATTATATTATGTATTAGATACTATTTTGTTTTCAAACTTTAAGTATTTACTTTATTTGTCTTTTTATCACAATTGTAGTTTATAATAGTAATGTCATGTGTTGCCTACGTGTAAACTCTCATTATGCATGATATTGACAAAAATGTGTTTATCTTTCAATGAAGTGAGTGAATTGATTTTAAAGATTTAAATAAATAGAATTCAACATTTATAATCTTCTAAAAATTATATCCTTGAATATTTTGGTTTTAAATAAAAATAAATTTAATGGGTCACATTAAATCTGGTAATAAAATTTTAATGGTAAAATTAATGAAAACTTAAATAATTCATTTGGTGACATCGTAATGGTTTAAATATTTTATATTAAATTAATAATAGAAAAATAACTTAGAATTAGTAGCAATATACACATACATAAATATATATATATATATATATATGGTAGTTGTTTACTACTTTTTCTTACTATTTTTTGATCAATTATACATAACTGGTATATATAGATAATAAATATCTTACCATTATATGATTGGTACCAACCGCTAACAACCGCAGTCGACCGCTAACAACCGCTAGACGACGGATGATAACAAGAGAAGCAATCAACACCTAACTTTGAAAACCAAATTTTATATAATAAAATAGATTGTTTTATTTTTATTTAAATCATTTTTATATAATTTTAAAATAAATAAAAATTAAATAATTTATTAATTTGTGTGGATAAATTCGTAAAAACCAAATAAAAATAACGGAGGCAATATATGTTTTGTTGGTCGGTTCAACCAAATCCTATACTATTATTTGGGGAGTACACTTTATAAGATACCCTTAACTAACCTTCCCTTTTGTAAGAATTTACTTAAGAATGCCATTACAAAAAAAAAATTTTAGAACAAATTTCATTCAATTTATTAAGGATAAATAAGTAAAATACTAATTTATGTCATTTAATTAATTTAATTAAATTATAAAACGAAAGTCTGTTATTTTTTTTAAATGACCAATCAAAATTAACATATAAGATTTGATATCTAACTTATCATATTAATTTGTTATTAATCATTAAACTTCACCTCTCATCTTAATATGATTATATTAATATGAAACAAATAAATAATCATATCATCTACATAATAAAAAAAAGTAATTTTTTTTCTGCATATGCCAAGATTTGAATTTTTAAAAACGCATATGAATTGTTCAATCTATAAAGGAAACAATTAAACGGGTCAAAAATTCAGAGTTGAGTAATATATTTCTTTTACACAAAAATAAAGTCAACAAAAATTCCGACTGAGCAACGGGTCAAAATTTGAATATTTATATTCGATTTCATACATTTATTTTTTTGAAATGTATAATTTTATATACTACAATAAGAATTTAAATATTTTAATTTGCAACATTTAAAATAAGTTTTACTTGATATTTTTAGAGAATATCATCAATACTTAATAGTTCAAAAAGTTAAAAATTATAAATACTCTAATTTGATTATTTTTAAAAATATTTATAATAGGTAGCGGGTTAAATATAATATATTATAAGATGAAATGAGTTTTGATCCTTATAACTATTTGAATAGTTATATTTAATTTCATATAATTTGTTTTTTGAAATTCATAATTTTATAAACTAAAAAAAATTTATTGATTTTAATTTGGAGTATTTAAAAATAGTGTAGAAAATTTAAATATGGTTTGACACCTCTAAATATTTGAAAGTTTGATTCCGCAAGAAATTTTAGAATTAACGAATTATAGATTGTGCACGCAATATTTTAAAATGAAATATTGAGATTCTAAAATAAAAATATAGACTCCACACACGGGTTAATTTTGGTATTATTATATACTAAATATATGTTTATAACATATTCGATTATGCGAATAATTGGTAAATTCCGTAATTATAAATCTTAAACAAATTCTGTAATTAGATTAGCTCAAACAAATCTCTATTTCAACAACCAAAGAATTATAAATTGAAAAAGAATTTTCTAAATTAATTCCAAATAATAGCTAATTTTCTTAATTAATTCAAAATATTCTATGTTTTATATGCGATTCATTTATGATATTTTAATTTTTGATCTAACTGAAATATATGCAATCCTATTTTGTGGTTGTTAACATAAATTAACTCATTGTTCAAAAAATATTACTTTTTAAAAAATAAAATTATTTTCCGTTTTCATATCTTAAAAAAAAAATATCCATAATTGAGTATTATAGAAAAAGTTCTATATTTATTCTAATATTGTATATAGGAACTGACAAAAAAAAATTAATATTTTTTCACTTACCATTATAATATATTAAAACTTAGTTTATATATATATATATATATATATATATATATATATATTATATAAATTTTGTAATAAATAAAATTCAACCCGTACTTTAGTACGGGTGATGATCTAGTGTTTAAACATTACACTAAATGGAAAATCAAACGAGTTACAATCCTCATCAAGCATAACGACAAGGGGCGGGTTAAGAAAACAAACGAGATAGATAAGAGTTTCCATTGGAATATAAAGTCATTAATAAAAGAGATAATTAGCTGGGAGACAACCCATGATCTGAATCAAATTAAATTTTCGGTATTATATTTTGAAGGCCAAAGACAATGAAAATTTTAGCTCCTCTTTTTGCTAAAAATAACTTTATGTGCCTCTCCATTTGTTGTTCAGAAAATCAATATGTTGTGCATAGATGTCCAGAAAACTTTATAGATTCATGTATATATCTTGTAAGTTGTCTTCTTCGTATGTCGGCGTTGATCTAATATCCGATTAAAAAAGAAATATCTATTTTGTAAGACCATAAACAATTCAGAGCTGCTTTCCCAGTTATTTACGGATAGAGAAGAATTTACTGGGATAGAGTTAACCAATACTTCAAACTCAAAACGATTAGTGTTGATAGTATCATGAATTTCTTTAAGTTCCGATGACAATTTAACAAAACCTGATGAAAATATGGGACGACAATTCAACGAAATCAGGTGAAGATCCGGTGATAATTCGAAGAAATCTGGTAAAAACTCGACGAAACCGGGTAAAATCCATCAAAAATACGTAATTTATGATTCCATGCAATGATATTTTAGTGTCCAATTACGATGCACTATTCACTTGTTATGTTCAACGGTTTGAGAAACGGTGGTTGTAATAATGTTTGTAGCGTACATATAAGTATACAAATGTTAATAACGCTCTATATACGCGTTTACATGTATACAAATGTTAATAACGCTCTATATATGTGTGTTTACGAGCATACAAATGTTAATAATGTTTAATGTACATGTTTAAACATGTTTACATGTATACAAATGTTAATAACGCCATATATATATATATATATATATATATATATTTATATGTATACATAGATCTAATAATTTAACACTATAATTATTTTTAACGCTTTATATATGTGTTTACATGTATACTTTTTTACAACACAGCTGCATGCTTATTTATTGGGTGTCTATTCCATTAGGTTAGTGGTTTAAAATTTCAAATTCTCGTCCAACAAGTTGCGTTATAGATTTGAAGACAGTCCTTCAGTTTACATTTAATACAAGTCTCCTCCTTCTTTCTATGCCGTGTAAATGTCATTTCTACAACAGAGCATTTAATAACTGTCATTTCATTTTTTTCCTCCCCAAAAGTTAATGGCGCTATCCCACGTGCATGGACTCTGTAACTAACTTGTTTTCTTGTAATTCTTTTAAAGTTGAGGGCTATTGATAACGCTTGATTTTTGTTTGTCTGGGACAAAATTGCCTATTACTTATTAGCTAATTAGATGTCCAATTTTTACCTCTGCACAAATTCACTCATAATAAAAACACCCCAACCTTCTTACTCTTGCTTTAGCTTCTTGATAAAAAGCTTGATCTCCAACATTTCACCATGCAATAAACTGTTAGGGATCAACATGAAACTCTCTTCAGGTCTTTGGGAGCTCACTTTAAGAACTCTCTTAACCTCTGGTGATTTGTAAATCATAGTGTGCCCATCCACAGTGTAGGAGAGATGGTATGAGAACTGTCTTACTTCTGGAGCAGATGGTGCAATGCAGCTTACGGTAAAATACACACCACATGGCTCCCTAAAACACTGCACTGCAAACAGGGCATGAGCGTTGGGAGAAGATGCATTTCTTTTCCATGAGTTGATTCTTTCCCATAAGATATATTCTAGTTTCTTTAAGTCAATTTCTTTAGAAGTTATAGATATACAATCCATATCTGATGTGAAAGACAAACCAAAAATGAGAAGATAATAAAAAACTAACAAGAGTGGAGATACGAAAAAAGAGTTGGTATTCCTAAGGTTTATGTGAGCTAGAGAGTGTGAGATTTGATAACATGCAACTTTAAAGTCTGGTGGCTGAGACGTCACTTCCCAGTGCGTTATAAAAGTGGAGTTTCAAAATGTCGTAGACTTGCTCAAATATTTGCCTAATGTGGACCGCAATCATCTTGTCAGATGGGCGTATGGCTACAACCACATCATTTATCCAAGCTAGCTTACGGGTTGTGTCCTTGCTGATGTCGCATGCTAGATGTTGCAGCAGTGAAAGAAGCACGCCTTGGCTCAGTGGACGCGGATTCATTACCAGTAGTCCATGAAGATCCACCTGGTAAAACACAACAAGCACACTAATGTAAAGTTGATGGTTTTGAGATCCGAAGATATGGAAAATCCAAACCAAATTTCACCTGTGAGCAAAGCCAGGATACTATAGAGGCATCGACTCTATCTAGAGCCAAAGTAAAAGATTCTTCGTACTTGCATTTAGATATCAACCTCGATAGTTCTGTTTTTGTGTCCATTGGTGCTCCATGTTGAAACAGCGGGCATTGCCATTGTACACACTACACATATATACTTGTCAAATTGCCAATAAATAAAAGGAATATGTTGGAAATTCAGGGTCTCTAGAGATGTGCAAACCTTCCCAAAAAGAGTAACCATGGTACCTAAAGCTAGAATGCTTTCCTGTGTAATAAGAGTAGCCAGTTTAGGAAGAGGAAAAAATTGACTAGATTTTTTGCAACCATTATAGCCAAAGAAGTTGTGCAAGAATAACGATTTTCCATCATACCCTCAGATTATTAACATCAGACTGGAAATTTCCTGAGTCAAACCGTTGCTGGGCTACGCTTGTAACAGAGTTTCCAACCTTTGTGTTTCGGCAAGGGACAGAGATCGATTCAAGAACAGTCTCCATTGCTCTGCAACGAATGTGACCGATAGGCGAACCACAGACAGGGCATTTATTCTTCAGTTTGTGACAACAAGAGGAACAAGCCAAATGTCCATTATCACACTGAAATACAAAACCAACGTGTTCCGATTAGAAGCTATATCATCAAAAGCTAAGGATACTCTTAAAATCCAGTAAATAGCCACAGTTCCAACTTCTTTCTTCGTACATATCAAAGGCTGGACAATTCTAGTTATGAAGCAGAAATGGTCTGAAATAAGAAAACGATTCAATCAGAAAGAAGAAGAAGAAGAAGAAGAAGAAGAAGAAGCAAAACCTGGAAAATAGGACTCTTCAATGGTTCACAACAAATGGGACAATCAAGAATCTCCAAATCCATCAGCATCCTTGGTTCCGAAGTCGAGGTTCCCACCATGTCTGAGAGCTGCCCAAAACCCTAAAGAGCTAAGTTTGGCTAAATTTTACTAGTTAAATATTATTTCTATTAATTATATAAATAATTTCTATTATTAATCATCATGTAATTTTATTTATTTAGAGAAAAGAATTTCAGTTATTCCAATATCATATGCGATTTTTTTGAAGTTTTATACATTTATTAGATTAGGACTCGTGTAATACACTGGTTAATTGATAAATAGTTTAGGTTTTTAGAAAGTTTAGTAAGTTGTCTTATAATTTTATGCAAATATATATTAAGCTGAATTAATTATAAATCTTATTATATATACATTTGGATTTGAAACCGCAAGACAAACTTTTATTATGTAAGTCGGTATTATAAGGTTTTGGAATCCAAAACTTTATCTGTTTTTCTTTTGTTCATTTACTTTTATAACTTAATTAAAAAACAAATGGAAGGATAATTTAATAACAAAAACATATTGCCACAAATATCAGACACAACTTATTTTAATTATTTAATAAGATACACTCTCAAGTCTTTTAACAAATATAAAGATGTCTTGTTCTATTTACATTTTCCTAAAAAATATATAAATAATCATATATATAGACCGACTCATGGAAAATCCAGAGAGTTAATCAATACACCAGAGGACATCCATGTTTCCAACACAATCCGCAAAAGCCAGTGAACTATCCGAATCACTAGAACAAAAAGTCAAAACTCTAGATTGCATGGTTTGCAATAGACTAAGCTCGATCAAGCAACCATGTAACACCCCGGTTTCAGAAATATGGTGGTGCATGCGGAGATGTTTAAAAGAATTGATTTTGCCATCTATGTCACCAAAGTGAACTTATCTTTTCGGTCAGCTGTCCTGAGAGAACTCCAGGGTTAAGCATGCTTGAACTGGGAAATTTTCAGGATGGGTGAATTTTTGGGAAGTGATTGTCGGAACCGTATGAGTGAGGACAAAACATGGGAAAAGTTCATGTGTTGATTTGTAGGATCGGTAAACAAGTCTTTAAAGCCTCTCGGATGTAACAGACGGACAAAAATAAGGTCCACGGGCCCGATAGAGGACGTGGGTGCTCACTGGTAGGAGCGGTTGAGACAAAATTCAAAGATGGGCTGCGTATATGGCTCGCCAACTCTCCCTTTTAGTCTTGGTTTTTAATTTGTTTCCTGTTTTTTTTTTTATTTCCTTTTAAAAAATAAATCCCTATCACCTATTCTTTTGAAATTTGTTTATATTGTAAACAAGTTTTTTGGTTAAATAAATTTTACGTTCATTCAAAAAAAAAAAACATAATAAATTTGACAAATTTCCAAATCAATTAATTGCTAGATCTACTATTGTTTATTTCCTAAGAAATTTCGTAAGCCAAACGTTTTAATCCATCTGAATTTACACTTGATTTAATTGCTTTTTTGCCTTTTAATTTACTTGATTTTATTTAGGTTAATTTCGAATTCGACGCTTAAGAGAGTAAGCTTGAGGTCTAACTTGATCTACATCATTGTGTTTGTCAAATCGGGAAAGGAGAGCATAGAAGCTCACGCTCTCCTTAAAAGATGTTTTATTGAACTTAAGGCGCAAGGATCCGGAAATTTACAAGCGTAATGATATTTTGTAGATGCTTAACATGATTTCATCTAAGAATGCTCCACAAAGATGGCAAGATAATGCTGTGATGGTGTGTTTGAGGTGGTCATGACATTTGAAGAACAAGTTTCTGATTCAGTTCATGAACATAATGATAGAGAACAAGTCATTTCTTAAAACTATTCTTGTGATGAACTTGGAGGTTAAAGATAACTACACATTCATCTTTCCAAGTCGACGCAAGGCTTTCAACAATCAAAGAGAGTTCGGTGAAAATGTGTTAAGGCTATTTTTCACCATGCATACGCAAGACTTTTTGAGTAGTGAAAGAGTTCGGTGAAAATGTCATTGCATTGACCGTCACAGCCGAAAAGTAACTTCTGATCTTTGTTCGTTAGGTTAAAACTTAAAACTTGTCTACTTAACGAAAACAAACTTAGATATTATTAAAGGGCTTTCTTCTATATCACCCCAACCTTCTTACTCTTGCTTCAACTCATTGATGCAAAGCTTCATAATTAACAATTGATAACGTATCAAATTGTGAGGGATCAATATGGAACTCTCTTTAGGTCTTTGGGAGCTCACTTTAAGAACCTTTTTCACCTTTGGTGATTGGTAAGTCATAGTGTGTTCATCCTCAGTAGTGTAGGAGAGATGATATGAGAACTCTCCTACTTCTGGAGCAGATGGTGCAATGCAGCTTACAGTTACATAAACACCAAATGGCTCCTCGAAACATTGCACTGCAAACAATAGTTTCTTCTCATATACCCTTATAATTAGTATCTTTTAGCTGATGAACATCATCACGGCCATATAGGAAACGCCACATCTGAACCTATCATTCGCGCTGCTTATTTGGTGAGTACGATCATAGTGCTCGTATAGGTCCTTGTATGAGCCAGTATAATTGCAAACTTGTATAGGGCAGGAGCATGAAGAGAAGTAGCAATATCTTCTCATGGGTCTTGGTGCAACCTAAATTTGCGTTTTGGCATGGGACCAAAACTGATTCAAGAACACTCTCCATTGCTCTACAGCGAATATGTCCAACAGGCAAAGCACATGCAGGACATTTATTTCTCAGTTTGGACAGAAAGAAGAACAAGCCAAATGTCCATTAACACACTGAAATACAAAACCAATGAATTCTGATTAAAAGCTGTCACAGTAACAACGTAGAGAGGATATATATAAACTCGTCTTGCCAAATTATCCACATATATATTTTCAAGAACTACAACTCCAAACGTGAACATATCTTACAAAACTTCAAACTAGGGATACTCTTAAAATATAGTAAATATGCACATTTCAAACTTCTCTATTGACTCCAAAATTATTATACTCTTCCTAATGCAAAGTTTATAAGAAACGATTCAATCAGAAAGAAGGAGAAACAAAACAACTGGAAGTTAGGAATCGTCAATGCTTCGTAGCAAATGGGACAATCAAGAATCTGAAGATCCGTCAGCATCGCTGAGCGTCTCTTATCAACTATCTTTCTTCCATCACCGGAAGATAGAGAAGAACGGTGTCTCTTTTGAGATCTATTCTCTTCGTTCCATAAATCTTCCAAACGGGAGGCTCCCACCATGTCGCCTAGAAATCAATAGGAGAGAGATGGCCAAAAGTTTTTTTGACGTAAACCCTAATCTTGTTTTCTTCTTTTTTTTTTAAAACATAAACCCTAATCTTTTTGCTCTATATTTTCGAAGATTTTAATCGGCTATGACTTCGACGGGACCCTCGGTTTTTAGGCTTTTGGGAAAAAAATCTCCCAAATAGATTGAGAACCGAATTTTACTTAAGTCGTTTGGTTTAAAATATTCTGTTAGGTTTTAATTTCTCTGGTTTTGTTCATATTTGAGTTCGGTTTAGATGTCGTTTGGTTGTATATAAAAATTTTTAACTGATTATTTTCATTTATATAATTAAATTTTTGTTTATTAGGCTAATTTCATTCAGATTGCTCAAAATTATAAGGTGATCCTAGTTGAACGCATATATTACAGGTGAATTACCAAATTCAATTAATCTCTAAAAATTACGATTTAAAATCAATAATTCGCGTTCACTATTTCGTGATTTGAGTAAACCCAAGTTTAAAATCTTGACTATGCCAAACTTTTCAATGAGTTGTTGACAACGACATGATCTTGGAAATTTTTTAAGTTCGGGTATACTTAAATCGTGAAATAGTGAATGCAAATTATTGCTTTTAAATCACAATTTTGGAGATTAATTGAATTTGGTAAATTTTATAAAAAGAAGTTTAGATTGATAAATTTTTGGTTCGCTTATGTTTTAGCACTTGCATCATTAATTAAAAAAAATCCCTATACATATTTTTGGAAAATTTACATATAGCTTATTATATAAAGTTTGGTTTTTAAAGTTAATAGCTCACATTATTACGATACGTGTCAATTTTATAGATTAGATTGCGACACATGTAAAACAATTTTAAAAAAAATAGTTACTGAACTGGCAAATTCAGCGAACTAGTATCGATTTTGAACGCTGGAACCGGTAAACCAATGTTACTATGAGAGCGTCTGGTAGCTCATTAGGGCCTAGGCGGCGCCTAAACCGATTTTTTAAACCTTTGAATTTGATGAAGCAAACCTTTGAATTTGATGAAGCAACCGAGGGAGAGCAAAAGAAAGCAGAAGGCTAAGAGATAATTCTCAAATCGGTAGAGCAATTGAGCAATAAAATGTGTATACAGTTTATTGTTTCTTCCACAGCCACCACATCTTAGGCATTAAGAATCACACTCTATAGAACCTAACGAAACCAAAGAAAAATTTACTCAAGTTTTGGCCTACGCATAAATTATATCTTAGAATTTATATTGAAATAGCTGTGAAATGTTTTGTTGGTCAGATACCACCAAATGTATTTGAACCTTCGATTAAATTTGCAAAAGAGACAGCTTCAATGAGAACATGAAGAAGAAGAAGAGCAAAGAAGAAGCTCAAGCTAAGATTTTAACCAAGTAGTTAAAATTTTAATAATATAATTGTAACTGCGTATCATGCAAAAAACAAAAATCGAATGTTCAGATAAAAGTTTTAAAAAATGTAAATGATACTATGTGAAAAATCTGTTGTTTATACATATTTTTCCATCCTATTAAAAATAGTATAAAAATTCAAGTAACTCGTAAGATTTCGGCTCCGATATTAACTGTATCGTAATCATCAAATAACCGTAACTGTTATAACCGTATTGTAATTATCAAATAACCGTAACCGTATTTAACCATAACCGTTGTAACCGTAACCATTTTTAATCATAACCGTTTTAACCGTATTTATAACCGTAACCGGTGGTTAATCAACCGTAACCGTAATAAACGTAACCGTGGTCGTCTCTAAGTGTGTGTTAAGTAGAAGTAGTATATGTATGTGAGTGTGTCTTGTAAGAAAGATTATATCTTGATCCAATAAACAAAATGTAGACAATTTAATGTTTACTAAACGCTTATGTCTTAGTTAGAACAAGAAACAAAACAAAGAATAAGACAAGAGATAGAGGGAGTAAGGTTCACCGAGTGTTTCTGTTAAAACAGAGATACATGAGAGGATGAGGGAGCTGACCTCAAAGAGTGTGAAGTGGTCAGAAATGCAACACTAACATTACAATAAATGCAAAATCAAACGAGTTACAATTAACGTCTGTAATCGAGTTACAATCCTCATCAAGCATAACGACAATGGGCGGGATAAGAAAAACAAACGATATAGATAGAGTTTCCATAGGAATACCACAACCGTCTTACTATTGGTTCAACTTCTTGACGCAAATTCTCATCTTCAACATTTCACCACGCAATAAACTGTTAGGGATCAACATGAAATTCTCTTGAGGGGTTTGAAAATTCAATTTAAGAACTCTCTTCACATCCGGTGATTTGTAAATCATAGTGTGCCCATCCACGGTATAGGAGAGACGATATGAGAACTGTCCTACTTCTGGAGCAGATGGTGCAATGCAGCTTACGGTTACATACACACCACATGGGTCCCTAAAACACTGCACTGCAAACAAGATTCTCTTCATGTATTCCATTCTAATTAATATCTTCTTATCGCTGCTGATGTTCATCTTGACAATAGAGGGAATGTCACAAATGAACTTATGAAGCTGGTATACTTTCATATGGGTAATACGATAGTGAGTGTAGAGATCCTTGTATGAGCTAGTGTAATTGCAGTCCTCTACAGGGCATGAGCATTGAGAGAAGATGCATTCTTTTTCATGAGTTGATTCTTTCCCATAAGATACCTTCTTTGTGCAACCTAACTTTGCGTTCGGACATGGGATCAAGATCGATTCAAGAACACTCTCCATTCCTCTGCAACGATTATGGCCAATAGGCAGAGCACATGTAGGGCATTTATTACTCAGGGTGGGACAGCAAGAAGAACAAGCCAAATGTCCATTATCACACTGAAATCCAAAACAAATAACTTGTGTTAAAAGCTCTAACAACGTAGAGATAATATTCATAACTTGTGACTAAGGATGATGTACTCTCCATAAATGATTCCCGTATAGACTTCGATCTTGCCGAGTTATACACATATTTTCAAGAACTATACAACTGCAAACATTAACATATCTTACAAAAGTTCACTAGAATCCTCAAAATCATCAAAAATTAAAGCTAATGTTACTCTTGAAATCTAGTAAATGGACACAATTTCAACTTCTTCTCCTTCCTAATGAATATGAGTTTCTTTAACATAACTTTCAAAAGTTCACTAGAATCCTCAAAATCATCAAAAGCTAAGGATACTCTTAGAATCTAGTAAATGGCCACAATTCCAACTACATACAGAGTCTAGTAAATCGAAGAAGTAACAACACCTGGAAGATAGGAATTGTGAAAGCTTCGTAGCAAATGGGACAATCGAGAATCTCCAGATCCATTAGCATCGTCGAGCGTTTCTTAGAGACTCTCTTCACTCTATCACTGGAAGTGATGTATATACTCTTATACTCAATAACTTAAACCCTAATTTGATTTTACTTCTGTCGGAAACTGAGAGAGGAAAATAGATAAGTTAGTTGATTGTTGTTCATTACAGTGAAAGGAGAGAGACTCGGGTTAAAGTTATCGAGTATAAGAGTATATACAGTTATAAAAGTTATGGTGCAGTTATAACTTACGATCTATACTATTAATCGAGAATGAGGGACATGTTGTAAACTTATTGTTTTTCTCTTCTATTAATGAATGAAACTCGTTATACATATATACATAATGAGAGGAGACAAATCCTCATTGGGTTAGTAAACCCTAAAGCCCAAAAGCCCACTAAGTATAAAATGGATCCTAAAAGGAGAATCTTCTAGAACATGGGCATGGGCCTTCTAGAATATGCATAAGGCCCACGGTTATGGAGTCCATCCAACATGTGGTTTATAACACTCCCCCTTGGATGACATAACCGTGTAGATGCCAAAGGATCTCAGCAATACGCTTGGGGATGCTGCCTCATTAAAACCTTACCAGGAAAACCCATTGGGATAAAACCATGGTGAAGGAAAAAGAGTACAGCACGTATTACTCCCCCTGATTTGGTCATCCCTGTAAGTCCTTAAGTCTCCGCATCCCAATCTGATGCGTGAGCTTCCTCAATGTTGATGTTGGTAACGCCTTAGTGAATAGGTCTGCTGAATTGTCACATGATTGGACTTGTACCACTTGAACTTCTCCATCCCTTTGCAAGTCATGCGTGAAGAAGAACTTTGGTAGAATGTGCTTCGTCCGATCTCCCTTGATGTAGCCGTCCTTGAGCTGAGCGATGCAGGCTGCATTGTCCTCGTACATGACCGTTGGTTCCTTCTCTTCGTCCATGCCACAATCAGACCGTATGTGTTGAGTCATTGACCTTAACCACACACACTCACGGCTGGCCTCATGTATCGCCAAGATCTCCGCGTGGTTGGATGAAGTGGCTGAGATGGTTTGCTTCATTGAACGCCACGAAATCGCGGTCCCACCGTGCGTGAACACATAACCTGTTTGTGACTTACCATTATGCGGATCTGATAAATAACCTGCATCAGCAAAACCAACTAAACCTTCCTTGTTATGGTTAGTATAAAATAAACCCAAATCAGCAGTTCCTTGTAAATAACGTAAAAGATGCTTAATTCCGTTCCAGTGCCTTTGGGTCGGACACGAGCTAAATCTCGATAGGAGGTTCACGGCAAAACAAATGTCTGGTCTAGTGTGGCTAGCCAAGTACATTAACGCTCCTATGGCACTGAGGTATGGCACTTCAGGACCGAGAACTTCTTCCTCGTCCTTCTTTGGACCGAATGGATCACTATCCAATCCGAGGCTTCTCACCACCATTGGGCTGCTCAATGGGTGGGCCTGGTCCATATTGAATCTCTTGAGTACTTTTTCAGTATATGCCTTTTGATGCACAAGGATTCCATTATTCACGTACTCAAGTTGCAATCCCAAACAGAATTTTGTCTTGCCTAGGTCTTTCATCTCGAATTCTTTCTTTAGATATTCGACTGTTTGGGCGATTTCCCCAGAGGTTCCAAGGATGTTCAAATCATCCACATATACTGCTATTATCACAAATCCTTTGTTTGCGAATTTC